CTCATCTCAATGAGACAGCAGAAAACTGTACCTTAGAAATAAAGACCATGTCCTAGAGTAAGATCTATTCTAGACATTCTTTGAACAAAAGCCTAAAACCAAGCCTGGATAAACCAAGGGAGAAACAGAATTTGGCATTTGGGTCCTGCTGTATTAGAAGGGCTTAGAAAACACCTTGGACTTTTCACCAATTTGTTCTTAAAAAAATTAGAAAACCAAGTCAATGCTATTTCAAGGTGATAAGCAAGAAATTAATGTGTCTACTAGAGAAAAACTCAACAATCTTCAGGGAACAATAATAGAATCTAGAGTCTTTACAATGATTTATTCACAATATCCAGTATTCAGTAAAAAAATCATTAGACACACAGAACAGAAAAATGTGTCTCGTAGCCAAAAAAAGAAAAGCAATTTGAAACTGACCTAAGGTCACTTTACTTTGTTATTATTGTTACTTTAGCTAGTTGTCCTTTAAGAACCCACTGTAGTAGGCTGCATAATAGCCTTTCAAAAATGTCCTCTTCCTAATCCCCAAAACCTGTGAATATGTTACATTATGTAGTAAAAGGGACTTTGCAACTGCGATTAAATTACCCATTTTGAAATGAGGAAATTATCCTAGGTTATCTGGGTGGGCCCAATGTAATTACAAGAGTTTCAATTAAAAAAAAAAGGTAGGAGAATCAGAGTCAGAGAGAGTTGATGTTTAGATAGAAGCACAGGTCAGAGATATTTGAAGATACTATGCCACTGGCTTTGAAGATGCAAGAAGGTGACCATGAGCAAGGAGTACAGGTGGCTTGAAGAAGTTGGAAAATGCAAGGCAGTGGCTTCTACTCTCGAGCCTCCAGAGGTGAGGCAGGACTACCAGGAAAACTGATGTCAGGCTTCAGACCCCTGAAAGAGAGTAAGTTTGCAGTGTTTTAAGCCACTAAATTTGTGGGAATCCATTACAGCATCAAGAGAAAAATAATACAAGGCTGGCCAAGTGGCTCAGTTGGGTAAGAGCTCGCTCAAGAGTGAAAGCTCTAAGCAACAGCGGTTCGAGTCCCAGCCCAAGCTGAGCTGCTGCTGAGCTGCCAACAGGTGGCAGGATGGCTCAGCTTAAAAAAAAAAAAAAAAAAAAAAAAAAGAGAGAGTAAAGTAATACAAACCAGATGCTGGAAGGGACGGCTGAGTGGCTCAGTTGGTTAAGAGTTTCCTTAAGAGCACGAGCTCTGAGCAACAGGGTCCCTGGTTCGATTCCCACATGGGCCAGTGAGTTTCGCCTGAGCTGAGCTGCCAACAGGTGGCAGAATGGTACAGCTGGTGAGAGCATGTGCTCCTAATAACAAGATTGCCTGTTAGATGGTGGGCTACGCCCACCCATGGCTGGGACTGAACTCGGCACCTTGAGCTGGGCTGCTGCCCAGATGGCTCAGTGGATAGAGCACGCGCTCTTAACAGCAAGGTTGCCTGTATGACTCCTACATGAAAAACAAACAAACACCAGATGCTATATTTAGTAGACAAACATGTTAAAAGAACTATTCAAATGTCTAAAGAATTAAAAGAAAATATGATTTATTTAGTGAATAAGAGGAAGTTTCAGAAGCGAATTGGAATTAAATGGAAATTTTACAATTCAAAAGTAAAATAACCAAAATAAAAACCTCTCAGGGAAGGCTTATTGATACTTTCATGTGCAATTTCTGTCATTTAATCAAAAATTAATAGATATGCAAGGAGACAGGATCATATAATCAACAAATATGAAGAAAATGGTAGACAATAGAAGCAGATACAAAGTGAATCAAAATATTGAAATTAATAGGTAAAGACTTTAAAATAACTATGATTGTTGAATTCTAGAAAATATGGGAAAAGGTAGACAAAACAGATTAGAAGACAAAGATATTCACTGAAATGGTAGAATTAAAGAGAACCAAATGTACGTTCCATAAACTAAAAAATAAAATATCTGACATTAGGAATTCAATGGATGAGTTTAATAGCAAATTGCATACAGTATAAGGCAGGATTAATGAAAAACAGATCAATGGAAAATAATGTGATGAAAGTGCTAAAAGGAAAATTAAATTAAAAAACAAAAAACAGATTGGCTCATATTACAACATAATTCCTTCCTGGAAACTCAATAATGGAAGGAGCTCTCCACTTTCAGGCATTTTTTTACGTTGCTGGCCTTGTATCATTTGATATCATTTGGGCACATCGTATACTATCAGGTAGATTATATTGAATGATGTTGCTGGGTAGAATTTGAGAATAGAATTAGAACAGGAAGCGATGTTTGGCCTCAAGTGCAACATGACCTTGTAAGTTATTAACATCTTATTCTACCCCTTCTCAGAGCCAATGGCCTGCAGTAGTCCAAGAGGACACACAAAGACACTGAGATCGGTATGGAAGAGAAGTATGGCAGCTGTAAGGCCAGCTCTGCTGATGGCCTCTTTCCCCAAGGGGGCAGCTCCAACCCAGTGGATCATAGGCATTGCTGTCAATCCCAAAGAGTTAAAGACAAAATTGGGCCCAGATTGAAAGGAAATTCTGTCAACAGTTACACACTGTCAAGGAGGAAGCACTGGAGAGGCAGATCCTAGATCATCTCCTTTCATCCCTTACTTGTGCCTTCCCAAAGGAGGAGGAACAATTAAATATGATCGACAGGAGCTGTGTTCAGAGTGGAAGAAGTGAAGACAATTGAATGAGTCAAAGATCTTTATAGGAAAGCGGTAACTAACAAAAGCAGAAGAATGTTAAACTTTTGACGTCACCATTGTGAAAGGCCTAGCAGATTGAGACAACAATAAGCACTGAGCAATCAACTGTGAAGGCAAAGGAGGCTGGAGAACTTTCTGATGGAAGGATCAGGCTGATACATCCTGAAACCACTGCTTAATCACGAAATGGAAGGTAGTCAGACGCTACACATCACCTCACGTGGGTTAGTGCTTCTGAAACAGAAAAGAGAGAAGGAAGGAGGGAGGGAGGCAGGAAGGAAAGAAAAGAATCTGCCTCTAATCTAACCTTCCAATTTACAGCAAATAAGGGCATGGAGGATCATGATAAACAATAAAATGGAATTCAAATAGCCAAAACCACAATGTAGAAAATTCTACAAGATAAACAACTTGATTTCTTCAGAAATTAAGAGGCAATAAGTAAAGAGAGGGATAACTCAAACAGATTAAAAGCAATTTAATAGGCATATCAACCAAATGTAATGCCTAGACTTGGTTTGGATCCTGATTTGAAAAAAACAACTGTAAAAAGACACATTTGAGGTGACCAGGCGAACGAAAGTACAGATTAGGTATTAAATACTTTGAAGGATTTATTTGGTTTTGGTTTTGTGTGTTTTGAAGGAGATCAATGTTGAAGTATTTATGGGTGAAACTACTATGCTGTGTGATATTTGGGTTTAAATATTCTAGAGGAAAAAAACAAACAAACATGGGAAGGGATAGATGACAGCAGAATGGTAGGATGGATTATTGGTGAATTTAAAGCATGGGTACATGAGGTCATTTTGTGTGCTTCCTCTAATTTTGTGTCTACTTGAAACTGTCCATGATATAAAGTTAAAAACAAAGTAGAGGGTTTACTGTGTCTCCACTGTTCGGAGAAGGTTTTCCGGAGTCTCTGCACTCGGATGCAGTGAGCCTGACTTGAGCTTCCAGTCCTTATGCGCAGAGCAGACCAGGCAGCTCCCTCCCTGGCAGACAGTCAGAGCTCTGGCTTTTGTTCTTGTACTTTCTCTGCCTACAACTGGGTGTCTGAGGCAAGGTCATTCGGGTCCCATTGTAGCCTTAGAAGTATCATCAATCTCTTTTTTGGCCTCAGTTCCAAACTGCATCCTCTAGCACAATTAGCCCTGAACTCTTTACCTTAGAAAATAAAACTTACCCTTTCAATCCAATTTTGCTTGGATATTTGTGATTATATTCTATCAGCATAACCCTGGAGGGCAGACAGTCATCTGAACCTGACCCATAACTGCAGGGTACTAGTCAGATAAGAGGATGACAGAACAGCTGAATCGGGGGAAGGTATTTTGAGGATAAAGGAAAATTATACATGTTCCCAAGCTAAGGTCAATTATCCAGGGAAATAGAAATGTTAAAAAAAATTGAGAAAGTGAAATTCAGTGTCAGAGGAAGTTCCTAAGAAAACACAATAAGGACCAAAGGCAAAGTGGAAGAATTAATATCAGAAACAGAGATGATTTATTGTTCTGTAAATTGGTAGAAAGAAGGAAAAGGATTAAAGAAGCTACAGAGACAAGTTGAAATAGACATGAAAGAGATTGAAGTGGTTTTTCTCTGCTGGATGAAACCTTAGGGATAAAAAGGAATAGAGAGAGAGAGAAAGGAAAAGGGATTGGGCCCAGGGCTAGAATAATAACAGCAGTGGCATAAAGGCTCCTCTGGCTACACTTTGGTGATGGCCTAGGAGCTGGGCTGGGGATTAGCGAGAGGGGAGAGGAGAGCTGCTCAGCTTCCAGGTTCCAAGTTGTCCCTCGAATGCTACTCCATACTGTACAGTCACATGAATGGGCAATTCGGGCCCTCTAATGAAATTCCATGTGCTACAGAAAAGCCAGGAGAAGATGGCTCAGAAGGTGATGGGCAGAAAGGGCGCTATCATGCGGACAAGTTCACGTACAGAACCGTTGGCTTTCTTCTTTCTCCCCTTCCCCCATCCCCCAGGATGCTTAGCAGAGGGTTCCCGAGGAACATCCTCACTTAAGTCGAAGTCAGAAGTAATGTCCTAGAAGAACCTGAAAATCAAGAAGAGATGCTATGGCACCCTTTCTTCAGCTCAAATCCTCTATTCCAGCCTTATTCTATAGCTGATTCTTAAAATTATTTTTGTTCTCTAAACATGGAGAACATAAGCTTCATGTAAATACAATTGTGGCAAAGCTGCATTTTCCCAGAAAAATATTACCAGCTTCTTCAATGATTTTAAAATGAGTTTATTAATGATCTCAACACATTTGCTAGGGTTTTAAATATTCATACTAGGCATTTTCTCAAATATTTACACTTAGTGCTAATTATGCACACACACAATTCAAAAATAGCTTTAGCTATTACAATAGAGGGCATGTTTTCAGGATAGTCACAAAAGAAAAAGTTATCTAAAGAGAATTAGTGTTTCCCTGAATATTTTCCCACAGACAGAAGTCAAAATTATGTTACCTTTTATTTAATACCCAATATATACAGGATATTTAAAAGTACTTCTGTTCCCCAAAAGTGGCCCCTTCTTCCCCAGGGCATGTTGATAATTACTAATATAACTTGGTAATTTCACTAACGACTTTGAACATGATCTACAACAATAAAAACATAATATCCCAAATTATCTTGCAGGTATTTGTTTTAGCTACTTGCATTGATATTTTCTAATTATCTCAAGTATATAGTACTGGCTTGCTTTAATCTATAAAGCTGACTAAAGCCTAGTAAAAAATACAGTTTAATAACCTCCAAACGAAGTTTGAAGAAAAGGCTTAAAGATACAAAATATTAAAAAAAAAAAAGTGAATGTTGAGAAAGATACAAATAATGCCTTGAATAGTCTAGGGATTCAATACAAATAGGCCCCAGTATGAAGGTGTATGACACTATGAGTGAAAAATTGGCTTTGTCCTGTCTTGGCACTAACTGACTGAGCAACCCAAGGCAATGGCCCTGACATAGTCTCTGACATGGCCCTGAGTTCCAATAGTCCACTTTCACATTTGAAACCTTTATTGATATGCATGTATCCCATTCTTATATCTACCCATGGGGGGATCCCAATAAATGGATTGCAGACAACTCCTAGCAGTTCCGCCCTGGCTTTGGCACAGAGTTACCTGAATACACAGTATTTACTGAGAGTCCCATTGAGGGAGATATTCTGGACTTCTTTGAAATTATAGGGAAAGAATCAGCAGGCTTTCCTCTTTGCTCGAGTCAATGAAGCATGTCAAGGGTTGTTGGAGCAACTGATCTTCTTTGCTTGCTCCAGGCCCCCACTTGCTTTGCATCTGACCACGGAGCAGATGGCCTGCTGAAAGTTGCCGCTGACCACCACATACAGCAACAGGTTACCAAAGGTGTTCAGGGCAGCTAATGGTCTAGAAACAACATAAGCTTCGTGGATCTGCTTCTCAATGGCACAGCTGATGGAAAGCAGGCGAGATTCAATACGAATGACCCTCAAGATATGGAAGGGTAGAAAACATACATAGAACACAAGAAGTAGCAGAATGATTTGCTTTCGAGCTTTCTGCTTAAGGCAGCTTTGAGTCTGAGGTCCTTGGGTGAGGGTGTAGATAATCATTGTGTAACAAAGTGTCACAATCACCAGGGGAAGGCAGAAAGTAGTCACAGTCAAAATTAGATTGTACCATTTGATAGTCGTGAGGTCATCCGAGCTGGTGAGGTCAAGGCAGGCGGATCTATTGGTCCTGGTGGTTGATGTGATCAAGAAGGTCATGGGGATGACAGCCACCAGGGAAATGATCCACACCACAGCACAGGCTACCATGGCCCACCGAGTTCTGTGAATGGAAAAGCAGCTCATCGGGTGATTGATCACAAAGTATCGGAAGATGCTGAAACAGGTGAGGAAGAGGATGCTGCTATACAGATTGAAATGGAAGCCAAAGCGGATGAACTTGCACATGAAATCCCCAAAGACCCAGTTTTCGCCACTGGCATAGTAGTGAATCAGGAAAGGGAGGCTGGTTAGGTACAGCAGGTCTGTGAAGGCCAGGTTCAGCATGATGATGGTGCTGCTTTTCCAGGGCCGCATTTTGAAAACGTAAGTGGAAATTGCCACTGCGTTCCCTGGAAAGCCCACCAGGAAGATGATGCTGTAAATAACAGGGAGGTAGTGCCTCTTGAGTGGGATTTTTTCATCAGTGCAATTTCCAAAAGCAGCTGCATAATCGGGGAAATCAGAAGCGTTTGCAAAATTGTCTAGTGGCTCATTCATGGTTGTCTCCTTTCATCTTGCAAGAAAACAAGAGAGTTCGGTTTGGCAATATGAGTTGACTGAGAAGTAACTCACTGATAAAAGAAAATAGAAAACATTAATGATAGGGTAATGAAAACAATGATCCACTTTTAAACGAAAATTGCTCTAACATCCTAAATTTGCCACTTTTTTCTCTTTAATCTCAAAAGAGATCCTGTAGAGAAGAGATTGAATTTCTAAGAAAATGGCTGTGAGGTGTGTTACTAAAGACATCTAATAATAATATAGAAGTTAAATTACCATGAGAATTGAAATGAAGGATTGGAAAAAAGCCCATATGGAGCTGTGGGAAACAATTTGGCAAGGTTGCTGTTTGGGCATGCCGTTAGAGGCTGAACAACAAGACCCACCATTAATCAAGTGCGAGGCACTTTACCTCTAAACTTGACAAGACACTGAGAAACATTTCTTATTATCTCTCTTTTCCAGAAGAAACTAAGACTGAGGGAGGTTATGCAACCTGTCTGTCCCTGGTAATACCTCTAGTGGCATGGCCCACATATGAACCCATGCTTATCTGAGTTAAAAGCCATTCTCTTTATACCTTACCTCACTGTGCTGCCTCTTAATCTGGATTACCCTAAATAACTGATGGAACAGGATGTGCAAAAGCATGAAAAGACTGAACACTGGGAATTTTTAAAATATAGATTTCACGCATTGTAACATTATATGTATGGTAGATTACATTTCGAATTTCAGTTCTTCCAACCTATTTTAATAGTTTGGAGCAAACATAATTTGTTCTTGGGATTGCGGGGGAGGGTTGCAGGGGATGGAGGAGCAGCTGTAAGAGTTTGGGTTCTATCACCAGACGGCCTGACCTTGATTCTCAGTTTAGCCAATGAGTAGTTGTATGTCCCTGAACAGGTTGTTTAAGCACTCCAGGCCTGGGAGGAATGGGATTTTAACTTCCTTCTTCTTGCTATCAGTGTTTTCTAAAATTTTGAGAGTGAATTTCTGCAATGAGAAAAGCATGAAGATTATAGTTAAAAGGAATTACTTACAATTAGCTTATGATTTGAATGTAAACAGCTATTGGTAAAATGCATCCACTTACACATTTATGGAGTGCCCATTGTGTATTAATTAGGCACTCTGCCAGGTCCTAGAGATACAAAACTAATAACACACACAGATGCACAAGCCACTATCACAGTTTACTGAGAGAGATGGACATGGAAATAATTTTAACAAAATGTAACCGTACCTCATGGAGCTGTCAAGATACTTAAAAAAAAAAACCACTTAGAACACTACTAGGCACATAATAAGTTCTCAATAAATATTAGGTAGCAGTTAACCACTAAGTCCTTTGGTAGATGAGTGGCACAAGACTACTAAAACCACAAAGAAGGGAGGGAACCTGGAGAATAGTAGAGGGCACTGAAGGAAGGTCAAGTGGGAAGGAACCTTTAAGCTGACACTAGCAACAGAAGGAGAAAGGCATTCCAGGCAAATGAAATAGCATGTGAAAAGGCACCTAGCTGTGACAGAATTGAGGAGGTCCAGGGGAGAGCTAAGTAGCTAAGTATGGCTACTATGTTAGGGGGCTTTGGGAGATGAAGTTGGAAAGAAAAAATGGCTAATAATAAAAATAATAGTGCCTCCTGTGTACAAAGCACTCCTCTAAGCATCTTACATATATAAAGTCATTTAATTCTGAGACAACCTGGTAAGGTAGAGCTGTGATCATCCCCATTTTACAGATGAAGAAACTGAGACACAGGGAAGGCAGGGACTTGCTTCAAGTCACACTGCTAGTTAGTAGTGAACCAAGATACAGAACAGGGCAGGTTGTCTGCAGAGCTGGGATGCCTCTCACAATGAGCAGGCAAGAGGCAAATGAGTGCCCTATAATAACAAAAATGAATTAGACGTTATTCCAGAAGAGCTCAGTAAATCAAACTCCTAAACTGTGTGATCTAAGACTAAAATGTCAGTAATAATAGTACCCACCTCTTTGGGTTGAGAGAGGATTAAATGAGATAATATACATAAAGTATTTTGAAGGATGCTCGGCCCATAGCAAGTACTGGATCAGTGCCTGCCATCATTACTACTAGTACTTGTGCTAAAATCTATACACTATCAAGCTTTTCCTCAACATAGTACAGAGGTGTATTTCAGCCTGACCCAATTTAGCAAATCTGAAATTAGCAGACTCCTTCTGTGTTGATTGGTCTGCAATGTACTCTTCCCGATCCCACTTAGGGCACAGATCAGAATACATTCACACATGTGTTACTTTTATTCTGAATGAATTGGAAAAAGAATAGCACAGAGATGGGAAACTTGCCATTGGGCAGCTGTTAGGAGAGGCCAGTGCTCCCTGGGACCATGTATTTACCTCTAAAAAGTGAATGTTTCTTCCTTGTCAAGTTAATGACACCCCCTGGATTTGCTATTTGTAGAGCTATTGCATACACAGCACTGGAGGGGATAGGAGTGGGGCACTGCTAACCAGCAAGGGTGCTATGAGGCCATAGCTTTTTCCTTGGGCAGCGCCTTAAATGGGCTCATGCACAAGAGGGGGCAGCAATTTAAACCTAAAGAAAATGGTTATGGACAGGGAGTCCCTGACTTGGAAATTCCGGAAGTCAGTTCTTAGCAAGTCAAGACTCAAGTTCACATAGCTTGTCTGTCAACTCCTTGAAAGCAGAAACATAAAGTCACCTCGTACCCCAAGGCCCCAACACACAGAAGGTACTCAATAAATATTTGCCGTATGCATATAAGAACAATGGTTTACATCAGCAAAATTTATCTTGTGCTGAAGGGCTAATGAAGCAGCAACTATTATTTTTAAAAAAAAAAGGTTTGATTCTTTAATGACTTTTAAAGTAAGGAGCAAACTTAATTTCTGCCATTGCCAAATAAATCCGTGCCCTGTTATTGGGCCATTTTAAACAATAATCGTATCAGGAAAAGACAGGTTGTGGGCAGAAACAACCACCTTATTATTTTGAAAAACAACAGTTCAGCTTGGGATTTAATGAAGCTGACTGACTAATCGTAAGGGAGGAGGGGTTAAGAAATTTAGTCCCTCTCCCATAAATCTCACCAGAAAAAATGGTTTGAGTTTACAAAATATGTGTGACGTTAATAGCAGACAAAAACTCTTCTGGGCTGAGAGCCAAGCAGAATGAGGCCGTTTCTTTCCTCGATAGTCCCAGGGTCCTCTGCAATTCACTGCTACCACCCAGAGCACCAGATGTCCACAAAGGAATCCTTTACATTCAAAGGACATTAAACAATAATGTGGTGTATTCCCTATTCTTGGCTACAACAGGGCCTCTCAATTGTAGGGAGATTACCGACCACCTAGGCTTGATGGACTCTTTATAAATTAGAAATAATGATCTATTTAGCTTTGACATAATCAGATGCCACACAAATAAAAGCAAGCGCCAAAGATTTAGGACATTTTTATAAAGGAAAAACACCATCATTTTAGCTTCTTTTTTTCTCTGAAGTTGGGAAGAAATTGTGATTGTTTGAGGCTAGTTGCAAATTATCAATGTTTTGGGAACACACAGCTTGAGGACGGCTATCCTAATGCCAGTTTGCCCAGGAACCTCACAATGGGATTCCAAGCCTCTGTGGATAAAGAAAGGCAGGACTAGACATGGTATTTATTCAAGTGGCAGTATATATAACTTTACGTCCATAGAGTATCCGTGCCCATTTGGTGGGAACAAGTGAAGTGGGGTTAATGATGAAATGATTTTTCTAAGATATCTGCTAATTTGGTAGTAAACTCCTTATCTAACAATCCCCTCCTCCACTACACCACACACACACACACACACACACACACACACACACACACACACTTGGTTTTTTGGTGCCCTCCAACACTGAGTTAACATCCAATCTCTCCTCCTTTTCCCAAGCTGCCAGTGGACCAGGGAAGTAAAACCTTGGAACACAACACCTATCATCACCTTCCCTCAGAGTTCTTGGAAACCCCGCAGCTAGAGTCACATTTGATTACCAAGAAGAAGCTTTGATTAGACCTTTCATTCATAAAGATTCATCTTGGTTTCCTCCTCTACATATTTGTAAACTGGTTTGATTTCCTAGTGGGAAACAGACCACTTCTTAACCCAGACAAATTTGTGACTTGGAGGAACGTCTTTGTCCCTGAACTCTGAAGGAATCCCTCCACCCAAGTCTTCCCTGAACCCCAGCTTTCAAATAAGACGGCAACTCAGGCACCCTGAAGACTTTTAGGACTTGCTATGTTGATGGAGTTCAAAGCTATTATTTCAGCTATTGGATCTTTGGGAGAATAAAATAAAATCATGGAAGCTCTCCTCAGAAAAATGCACAAATGGACACAAAAATATACATTATACAATTTGGAAGTTTAGAGACAATCCAAAACGAGTTCGCTTAATCTACAACAATGAAACAAGACAAAAGAAAGGGATTTCAGAAGAAAAGGTCTTGTCTGCTCGTTGGGGGGTTGTGGGCAGTATCATTGGACATTGATTGCTAACACAAGAAATCCCAGAACCATACGGTATGAACTAAGAACGCACCAGAAGGCGGAATCAACTGAGGTCAGAGATGAACCCTCTGTCCCCAAAATCCCCCCAAAGACTCCATGTTTTGTCGTGAAAAAGGCACGAGATGAGATCATAGTCCAGAACTTCTCCAGATCTTCCTGGGACAGATCTCTGTCCAACCTAGGATTTTATTTTCCCAGAATGCGCCCCTGCCCTGCCCTTCTCCCCCACCCAGCATGGGGGCGGGGGGGGGTGCTCCTGCTGCCTCCCAAAGAACAAGTTAGAGGCCCCCGCTCTGGCCACCCTCCACCCCCAGGCTGCGGCAGGGACTTACCCCGGGGCTGTTTCAGCCAGGCTCTGGGCACTCTGACTTCCCACTCCGGGATCAGCGAAGGTCCCCGCACCCGGCTCCCTCAGGCCCGCGGAGTCCCGCTCCCCAACCTAAGCTCACCTGGCACCCCGGTGCGGCCGCCATGCGCCCCGAGTGGCCGTCGGAGCGTGGCTGCACTCGGGCAGCAGGGGTCCCGGCGGAGGCCCGCGCGCCGCCCCTGCCCCTCCCACCCTTTGGGCCAGGGGTCAGGTGAGTGATGAGGTCCCGCCCCCGCTGACATTGGCCTGCATCCTGCTTCGCCCGCTTTTCAGCCCGACCGACTTCCAAGGATTGCTGGACATCCTCCAAGCCGCTTTGGAGCAAAACTGCCCCAAGGCAGTATTTGCAGAGGTGCAAAAAGAGCCTGTGAGGAGGGCTCTTGCCGCAGGAAGGTTGCAGCCCTATTGTATGGGTCCAGAAATTTCACCTGCTTGCCCACAGTACAGGGCCTTTTATTTAGCAAGAGATGAAAACAAGCTAAATTCTGGCTCTCTGAATCAGAGGCGTCCACTGAAATGTCTTTTCACTGTGTCCACTCACGGGCCTACCCTCCACTGCTCAGCAAGGTGGTTTTAAAATACTCCGTAACAGCGTGGGAAGAGTGTGTCTACGTCTCCAGGTCTAGGACGCAGCCCTCTTGCCATATGACTTGGGAACAGCCTCTTCCCTTCTCTAAATCTCAGCTACATCATCCCAGAGAATAGGGGTTGAATCATTGGACTGTAAGGTCCCTTCCAGGATCAGAGACAAGTTTTCTGTATTGCTTAGTGAAGACAAGTGGCGAAAGCCACTTTTATGCTCAGCCATGGATAGGCATTGAATGCCCCTTCTGCACCGCCATGTTGATGGACATTAAAACAACCAGGGCATCTTCTGGGCAGGCCAGCGTGCAGGAGCAAGAATGTGAAACCAGGCATCCCAAAGCCCCAGTGAGAAGATCCTTGCTAGCTGATGGTTGGGAGAGCACTGTAATTGGCGTTTTTTATTATTCTGCTTATCATTATTATTTGAGACCCAGCCTCTCCCAGGAAATATTCAGAGAAAAATTATTCTCCAATTTTACTATTTTTAATCACTTTCTCAGTTTGTCTTTTGGAATTATTGGACCCTATTTTGTTCCACTCTATCTACACATTCACTCAACAGACATTTGCTGCTTGATTATTCTGTATCAGGCACTGAGGAGACAAGAATAAAACGTGATCTCTGCTTTCCCAGAGCTCATGTCCTTGGAAAAAAAAATAATTAATTTAAAGAGTGAATAGGGTTTAACCCTGGTAAATAAGGGTGCTGTAAGTGAGCATAAACTGAATGTAAGACCAAGAGAAGTTAGAAAAGGCTTTCTGTGGTGAAAGACATCTGAGCATTTCCCTTGGTGATCAAGATTTCCAGGTGAAGAGGAAATGACTTAAAGAGATTATTTAAAAAACAAGTATTGGTTCCTAGACTTTTAAAGATGTGGAAGGGACATTTTAAAATATCCACTCCTGTTAATGTAAAATAGTGGAACCACTATGGAAAACAGTAAGATGATTCACCAAATTACCACATGATCCCGCAATTCCACTTTTGGGAATATACCCACCCAAAAATTGAAAACAGGGCCTCAAAGAGATATGTGTACACCATGTTCATAGCAGTATATTCACAAGAACCAAAATGTGGAAGCAACCCAACTATCAATGGGTGGATGAATGGATGAACAAGATGTGGTATATACATACAATGGGATATTATTCAGCCTGAAAAAAGGACATTATGACACGTGCTACAACATGGACAAACTTGGAGAACATTACATTAAGTGAAATAAGCCAATCACAAAAGGACAAACATGATATGATTCCACCTATATGCAGTGCATAGAGTAGTCAAATTAGTAGAAATAGTGGCGTGATGGTTGCTGAGGGCTGGAAGTGGAGGGAATGGGAGGTGTTTGTTTAATGGGTGCAGAGTTTCAGTTTTATAAGATGAAAAGAGTTCTGTGGATGGACAGTGGTAATGGTTGCGCAAGAATGTGAATGGACTTAATGTCCAACTTGTACACTTAAAAATGTTTAAGATGGTAAATTTTATGTTATGTGTATTTTACCACAATTTTTAAATTTAGTTTAAAAAAAACCCAGTCCTGTGGTCTCACTTTAATAAGGAGGACACTGAGAATTACAGAGGTCCAAGTGACAAGCCTGAGGACTGGGCCAGGGAGACCTGTGGAAGACCAATGTACCAGCCCTCCGTTCTTACTGCTCTGTGCTAGGCGTGGCTGGGCCACTTTATTGAAGCCATTTCTTTATCTGAAACAACGTGCTATAATCCAACACTCTAAATTGGCTCCCTCAAATGATGATTTTTATGAGTTAATTGTTTTTTTACATTTTCTTGTTTATCTGTAAATATTACTCCTTATGACAACTTGGAATCCTATAAAGTAGTAATTTTCAGGGGAAAAATACTAAACAATATATAGATCTTAAGCATCTCTGCATAAACAGAATAATATAATTTACATTTATTTAAAACAACTTGCATTAGAAAATTATGTCACTAATTTAGACTATGTTTTAAGCTTCAAATTTAGAACCTTGAAGTTGTCTTTTAATAACCCTAAGTCAGACTTACATAAGGATAAAATTCAACTTCCATTTAAAATTGGTCTCTTGCCCAGATTCAGAAATGCACTTTCTTCTTTAAAATGAGCACCCAATAGAACAGAATTCCAGCACTTAAATTCACAGCTATTTGAGCAGCACAGGTGTCACCTGCAATGTGCTGCAATTGCTCCTTTGAAGCAAGCAAAGAGGCTCATTTCCAGGATAATCTGAACACTCAGAATTTCTCTAATTAGGAAGCACTGACATCTTAAAGCCTCCTGGTCCAGAAAGCCCTGTGAAACTCTGCAGAGAAGGCAGACTCAAGTAGCGTTCTCCAAAGAGGTATTAATTATTGAGTTGGGGATTGGCTGGGGGAAGAAGAAAGAGTAACATTACAACTAGTCATAGTTCTTACTCAGCGTTGAGTAAGAAAGCAACAAATTATTGATGACAATGTGGACCGTTCTGTTTCTTTCTTCCCTGGTTATCATTTCTCATCATTTCTGACCATTTGTGTTAACTATGTCTATTATTTTCTATATTCTGGTGCTTTGATATATGGGACCTTAGTGACTTAAGAGACACTGCCCTTCCTGTGGTTAGCCAGTTCCTAGAGATAGTAAGTTCACTAGAGAGTGTACTTTCAAGTGCAAACCAACCATTGCAGAGCTTATATCCCCAAACACCTCCTTTTTTGGGCTCTCACACTCTGGGCCACTATCCACCTGCCTCAATCACCACAGGGCCAGGTAGGTACCATACTACTAGAAGGCAGCCCCTATATTCCAGAGTCCAGAGCAATTATTCAAACTAGCCAATCCAAAGCCTGATTTCCCTGCCTCACCCATTCCTTTCCACAGAAACCACAAAAAAAGGGGGGGAAAAAGCCTCTTGCAACAGTTTCCCCTCTCCTTCTACCTCTTGACCAATCCTAGTGCTTCCCCATGTGGCTGCTGTGGTGTGGCATGCCCTACCTCTTGGGGTCTGTGAGTATAATAAATCACCTGTTCAATGGTAATCGTCTCCTGTTATGTTTGCCTCACCATACCTGAGTAATAACAAACCTATATTTTGAAACACCATATATGACCTTGTCAGACTTTTTGTAACTTTGGCCACAATAATAATATGACTTGACATGATAGCAGTATTCTCATGAGATGAATTCTCTTGATAAAAAAAAAATGCTAACTTGTTTTCTAAAATTGGTTGCTCAGTAAAGATCTGTTTAAATAAAGCAATTTTTAAAAATCTATACTAGGCAACAAATTCAACTATTGCAATACCTTCCAGATTCCTACAGTATTTCTTCAGTGAGGAGGAAGACATTATGGCATAGTAGAGAGAGTCCCAGAAGTTTGAGGCCAAATTTTAGTGTTTAGAAAGCAACTCAATTAGCTGGGAAAGGAAATCCCCTTTCCAGTTCTCCATCTAGGAAAAGTGGAGGTTGGACGGGATACTTTCAAAGTTCACTCCAGATTAAAGGGATCTTAGTTGTGAAAACTTAAGGGAAACACAAAGCTTAGTCTCAGAAAAGTGTGTATGATATTGCTGTTCCAGTGTGAGTCACCTGCTGTGCTCCTATGTAAACATCATTTGATGATTTTTAAATGTTACCAAAATTATGTGGTGTTGTGGACATTTCTTTGAAACAGGGCTTTTCTGGGGGATTTAGAGAGCTATTGGGAAAGAGACTGACTAGATTGTCCATCTTTAGATCCAATCCCAGGAAAATCTGGGAGATGGTTAGAGGCTTTTAGAGGTGCATGAAGGCCCAAACAGCTAATAGAGCTAGACTCGTGGGCACAACTAAGGATAGGACTGCCAGGCTGCTCAGGAAGAATTTTCATGAGAATTAGAGTGACCAGTGGAAGCAAGGAGAAATGGAGATTAGAGACTAAAGCAAATGTGGTAAAGAAAAGGAGTACAGAAAAGCCAGAGGAAGCCATCATCAAGCAGTTGAGCTCTTACTCTCTGCTGGTGCAGGGTCGCCTGCTGGGACAGTCGTTCCTATCCCATCTTTCTGAACTGTTCTATGAGGATCTTTGCCCACACATACTTTTTTCTCTTCTGAATACCTGCTGTACTTGTAGTCTGCATCTTATAATCCAGTGTTTATTTATTTCTAAACTGTTTAATAGTTTTACAAACTGCAATAGTTTTGAAAACTTTAGTCTTGCCTAATCAGCAAGATTGTCTACATCTCAAGAGAGATTCACTTTGGATCTTATACAGCACCTTAAATGGGTACATAGTAGGCAGTAAAGTTGCCTGTTGTTAGGCAATTATTACTATAACCATGAATTGGATTCCTCATTTGACCTTAATTAATAGTAAGTTTTCTGAGGTTTTAGTTACTAATTGAGACCAAGCTGTCTCCTACTGGCCTTTGTCCAAGCAGTTGAGCATATAAAAAAGAACATGAGGAAAGAGTGGTCAATAATTTAACAGAATGGAAATTAAGCTGAAAGATGGAATGAGGCAATTAGGAAATCATTGGTGACCTGAGAACCATTTCAGTCATGTGATGGGGGCTAAAGCTAGTTTATACTCACATGCAAGAGGAAAA